GTTCACTGCCGTGCGTAATGACGCATGGTCAGTGTAAACAATGAAGGGTCTATCTCCTAATAGATAGACTCTGAACTTCGCGAGTGCATACTTCATGGCAAGGAGTTCCTTGTCATGCACTGGATAGTTCAGCTCAGCTGGTTGCAGATGACGCGACTGATAGCAGACGACGCGTTCAACGCCTTCAAGATCGTACTGCATTAATGCACAGCCGATTGCGAAATTGCTGGCATCACAGACCACATGAAATGGCCTGTCTTGATCGGCTATTGCTAGGACTGGGGATTGTATCAAGCTCTGCTTGATACCATCAAAGGAGCGCTGACATTCAGCGTTCCATAACCACCTCTTTCTTTTTCAACAAACGAGAGAGGTGCACAGTCATCTCGGCGTAATTGCTTGAATACTTATGCAAATACGCCGCTATCCCAAGGAATTTTTGAAGACCTTTGACATCAACCGGCACAGGCCAGTCGGTGATCGCCTTGATCTTTTCGGGATCAGGACGTACACCGGTCTTACCAACGATGCACCCAAGAAGTGGTATTTCGCTTGCTGCAAATATACACTTCTTGAGGTTTGCATACAATTGATGCTTTCGCATGATTGTAAGGACCTGTCGGACGTGGTACCTGTGAACCTCAACGTTTGACTTTCCATCCATAGCTCGACTATGGATGAATGCGTCATCGAAATAACTCGGCGCGAATTCTCGTACTGGTCTCAACAGATGTGATACACATCTGTTGAACGTGGCAGGGGCATTACTAAGCCCTTGTGGCATTACTAGCCATTCCCAGAGCATGCCGCTAGGCGTGCTAACTTCGGTATAGGGTATATCCCGTTCCCGCATAAGGATTTGATAGAAGCCATCCATCAAATCCATGGACGAAAAGATGGTACTCTTTGACATACCATCAATGATTACGTCCTTCCTCGGTATCGGCGTCTGAGCCGGTACCGTTGCAGCATTCAACTTGTTAAATGCATTCACTATCCGCCACCCTCCAGTTGCTTTTCGCACACAGAAGGTCGGAGAGCTATGTGGGGAAGTTGATTCCCTCACATGGCCCGCAGCTAAACGATCGGCAAAGAACTTGTCGATCGCAAGTACTTGTTCACGAGGCAGTGGCCACTGCTTCATGACACAGTACTTCGAGCCTGGTTTAATCTCGACCTCGTGTCGAATACCTTTATCCTTCGGTAATTCGCACGGAACAGTTTCAGGAAATACATCCTTGAATTCAACCAAATCTTCATAGAGATGATTTGCCTTGAGCGATTCCCACGATTGGGAGTCATATCGATCAACTCGTGTCTTTTCATCTAGGACACTCTCGTCCATAGATGAACTACTGAGAACTCTCTCGTTCTCAGTAAACACTGTTGCTGACCTTATGTCGGTTACACACTCGTCGTCAGCGACGAGTACGCAGATCTGCTTGACTTTGCCACTACGCAGATCACGCAAGAATCTTTTATGTTCGAGCGTTGGCAACTGAGTGATCTCCGAAGTCAACTCCGGAGGCGCAATCAGATCAAGTGTATAAGCGCCTACACTTGATCCGTTATTGACTATGACATTCAATGTCTCTGTCATTTCCTGGGGACTTATTCCCTCAGGCTTCGAAGGACTTATTCCTTCGGCTTCCCGGGGACTTATTCCCGCGGGTTTCGGGGAACTTATTTCCGCCGTATTTGTAATCTTGGGACTTATTCCCTTTACTTCCTCTAGCTGGGGTTGCGCAACCACAGCGAGATCCTCTACGAAAGACTCTCCAGTCGATCTAGGATTATCGTTTCGCTTAACCTGACCGATCGATTGTTTCTCTTCTAGATGTTCCCCGCTAAGGATACATCTTTGTCCCAGTCCACCCGACTTATTCGAGTGGTGGACCTTCGGCGCAGCCTGTGTTTCCTCACAGCCGCCGGAACTTTGCTCCGAAGTGTAACTGTTTGTTACACTAAGGTTTTTTGCAGTCGTACTAACGACCGTACCACAAGTGAGGCCATCGCACTCACTCGTAGTACATCCACACGCTTGTGGACGCTCCAAAACGTTCATCAGGTGGCCATCTGATGAACAAGCGGCAGGCATCGTTACTGTTCGATGTTGCCAGTTTACCCGTGGTTCGTACCTTCTGAGCCACGGTATTCCAAGGATGACATCACATTTGTCATCCAAATCCAATACGATAAAGTCATCGTCATATTTCGTATCTTCTAGCGTATAGTGAATCTTTACTATACGCTTCATGACGGTTACGGATGCGCCTGTCGCAAGACGTACCGTCATCCTCGTAGGAGGTGTGTCACATTCACTGAATTTAAAGTGATCATCTTCTAGCGATTGGCGTCGCACAAAATTGTTGGACGCCCCACAATCGACTAGAGCTCGAAGGGACAACTTATTCGTCACTTCGAGTTTCAAGGTAATGAGTGAGACCTCATTATCTAGAGCAGCAACGCACAACGTTTGTGTGTTGGGAGCAACCTTCATCAAGAGGCCTACAAATTCTCTTGACGTTGCTGGACCAGTAGGGTGCTCCGCACCTACTGATCCTGTCCGTTTTTTGACGGTCCATCCCGTTGTTGCGTCTTTGCACCAACAGCGGACCCGCGTCCCTGCCCCTTTCTCATGAGTGGACGGTCACTACGCCCAGTGTTGCAAGACACTGGACGAGGGGCACTACACTCGTAAGCGTAGTGTCCTGTCTTCTGACATCTGTTTCATCTCTGCAACTTCTTGTAGTCTGTAGATCGAGCCTTCTCGCTCTCTACATAACAGATTTCCATCGGCTCTGGACCTCCGCCGTCATATCGTCTCGGTTGACGATATGATGTCGAGCTGGCGCGAGCCTGTCTCAGACTGAAGTCTTCCTGCTCCGCAATGGTTATGGCTTGTTCTAGTGAATCTAGTTCAAGCCGGAACAGGTGAGTCTTGACGGGACCATCCGCAAGACCCTGCATGAACACCAAAACCAACGTGTGTTCATCCACCGGATTGGAACTTATACAACTCGTGAGATGTCGTATATGTTGGGCGTAAGCGTGCACATCACGCTTACCTTGTCTGAGCTTCAAGAGTTCGGTTCGAGCCCTGAACTCAGCTCTAGGCGGTTCAAACGTTTGTCTGAGCCGCGACTTGAAGACTTCCAACGACCCAAACGCATATGGGTCGTGCAACTTGAGCCCCAGTGCCCATGTCTTGGCACGTGGGCCTGCCAGATTTGACTGGGCAAATGCAACTTGCATTTCCCCATCGTCGATGCGACGCGCCCTTATGGCGTCATCCAATTCGACGAACCATCTCAAGAGGGAGTCCTCTTCGACTCCCCTATACTAAGAGATGTCAATCTTCAAGGTTTCGGGTCGACGCGAGTGCATCGACCCGCCAGCAGCAGCCTGCTGCTGTCTTAACAGTTCAAACTGTTGAGCACCCTGTTCTCTCAACAACCCTGCTTGTTGAGAACCTTGTTGGTGAAGCAAGGCTACTGTCTCGCGTTCAGCGTCAAGTTCATTTTGAATGAACTTGGCAATAGTAGCATGTTGGGCATCTCTATTGAGAGCCTCTAGCATGGCGCTAACAGCATGGATGCCCATGGTTGAACCCATCCATTCAACCGCATCCCATTCGACATTGCCCAAATGGGAGTAGCCGTCACGCGTAGCGTGAAAGCTTTGGTCATCTTCATCATCCAACATATTCATGTTGGATGTGAACGTGGTCCTTGGACGGACTACGAAGTGCTACCAGGTGTAGCGGGGCACCCTGAAGCTTGTACTGGTGACAGTACAAGCTACTTATTCTGATGACAGAATAAGGCGGTGCCTCGTAACTTCACGTACACTGGTACGTGCAGAGGAAGACGGTAAGAAGAAGCGAGTACTTGGTTAGAGTAAAAAGTAGAACTGTATTTATAATAGTTAATGTCTGCAATAAATCCCTATTTATCTTCATCTAACTATGTCTAAATACAAATGTGCATATCAACTATCTGCTCACCACTCATTGCGTGCGTCTGTCGTGGCGCGTCTTCGTTGGTGGATATAATGGCCTATATCAACCAATTAGGAACTACTTGTAAGTGCAACATAATATTTGTCCTTATGACAATATTCTGAGAATATAACTCTTATAGTTATATTCTAATAACAATTTCTTATAAATTGTTATGTAACGATTCACCCCGTAACAGTGTCGATACAAGCCTCCCGGAGTTCTGTGTCCGATGCAGCCGAAATGTCGCGGACTAGACTGAGATTTAAATCTTCTGACCTCTGCGATGACTGCATCTCGAGGTTCTCACTGAGTAATCTGTTGTGATAGTGCAATCCTTATGTACTCCGAGATTTTGCGCGCCCAACCATTCCACCGGCAAGACCGCCTGCACAAAATTGTTGAGGCGAAGATGATGTAGAGCTAGAAAGTGTTGTCGGTGCCCCCACAGCTTCCGAAAGGGGTGAGCCATCAAGTCCGTGGACCATTCTCCGGGATGGCAGGGCGCGTTCCACCCAGGGGGGGGGTCTTTGACCCTCGCGTCCGGCTCCCCCATTATCCACCGCAAAGGATGCGGCTTAAGTTCGAAAGCTGCTTGTTTATTCAGTCATTTGCCTCCAAATACGCGAATTGGAACTATATGCGCATTGGTAAATAGTTATGTCGTTCTACCATCTTGTAAAATTCTTTTCGTTTCAAATTTTGTGATACCTTTAAATTACTGATTAACTGACAAGCAAGTTTTATTTTTTGCAAAATTGGTAAATTTCTCTTAATTTTCCCTTTAATGAATTACGTTAGCTGGCGGCAATCGTGGCCACGAAACGACACACCAACAGTCGCCGGTTGTCGCATGCAGGCGGTTATTCTTCCACTCAAATAAAGTTGCTCCAAGAACCACCTATTACCCGTAAACTCTTGTAGTCGGCTGCCGTCATTTCTAAAAAGTCATTCAGTAGGCAGCAGTGCTAACGACCGAACCCAGTGCCGAGCGATTAACATGATGCCCCGCAGCCTGTTGCGATCTACCAGCGCCCTGACCACCTCGCGCGTAGCTCTGCGTCCTTCTACGGGCGTGCGCCACTTTCGCAAGAGTGCGTTGTCTCTCTTGGTCGCTTCTGTCGTAGTTCTCGTTGCTAATAACCCCTAATCTGCGTGATCTCTCTCTCTCATTCTGATTCTGCTTCTGATTCGACTGCAGATGCCCCCACCAAGTACACGGAGAACAAAGAGCTGACAGGACTGGCAGGAGTTCTGCAAGGTACGACGGTTCCTCCTCGTCTCTCTCTCTCTCTTTCTTGCTGCTTCCGCTCATCCGTATTGCGCACTCTGTTGTTCCACTTACTTGCAGCTGACAACCACAAGCTTTCGGTCAAGGCAATGCACCTGACGAACGTGGGCCTTATGGCTGCCGTGCCACTTGCTTTCGTACTGAGTCCGTCACCGCTGGCGCTGCCCGTGGACTTGGCGATCGGTGTGCTCGTGCCTGTGCACGCTCACATTGGCATGAACAACGTCATTTCCGACTACGTGCCCAAGAACGTGCGCACATTGGCGCGTCTGGGCTGGCTGGGCGCCACGTCGCTCATGCTGCTAGGACTGCTGCGCGTCAACTTGGAAGGTCCGGGCATTACGGAGGTGGTCAAGACCATCTGGCGTGAGTCGCCCAACAAGAAGAAGCACGAGGCGTAGCCTCATTGTCGCATGTAGCGCTCTTCCACTGCGGAGAGGGAGACGTCATGTAAGAGAGAGGATTTGAATGACGTGTAACTTTGACCGGGTCGCCACCTGTATTGCTTCCTACGATCTTGTGTGTCAACTTGCTAGATGATGCTGACGTTTAAGTTACGACAGATGGTAGTAGTAGCGTCGCATGGCCGTCCACAACAACAACGGCATCGTCGCTGCCTTTCGTGCACACGGTCTCGCACTCGACGAAACGCCTTCTGACTTTGGTCACGCGAATGCGCGCCGTCACCTCCTCATCCACAAGCAGGGGGTGCCTCCAGCTCAGATGCTGCTTGACGTAGACTGCGCCCGGTATCGTGCGACCGAAGATCGCGGCAAAGAGGCTGGCGGACAAAAGACCTTGGACCAGAGGTTTGCTCTTCGCTGCCACTTTGCGTGCAAACTCGGCGTCCACATGCAGCGGGTTGTTGTCTCCAGAGAGTTGAGCAAAGGCGCGAGTGTCCTCGAGCGAAAAGACGTGCGTCAAACGCGCCTCGACACCGACGGCTGGAATCGCTCCTGGAGCGAGCTGGTTGCGCCATTGACACGTCATAGACACGTCATAGACACGTTACACCCCATCAAGACAAGCGACAAGTAAGGACGGAGGCGCTCAAGTCGACCTTTGTAAGTTCTCCTTTGACCAGGAAGCGGCTGTCCGAGACCAACGCGCTGAAGAACTTGGCAGTCGATCGAGGAGACAGGAAGCGCATGCGCTGCATTGATCCAGCGTTCGGTTTTAGTGTGGACACGCCAGATTCCGAATGCACAGATGGGAAGATGGTGCCGCTCAACAACTTCACAATCTCACCATCTTGGGCATACGCCCGCCTCACATCATCATACAACGTTGTAGATGGGACTGAGGACGTCATAACCGCAACAGTGACTGTCTCACTGTTGGGTTTCGCGACTGTTTCAAAGTCTGGACGACGTGAGAGTGCATCAGCGACGACATTAAGTCGTCCTGGTTTGTACTCGACCGTAAAGTTGTATCCTGCAAAGAATGACAACCACCGCGCCATTCGTTGTGAAAGGTGCGGGCTGTTCACTGCCGTGCGTAATGACGCATGGTCAGTGTAAACAATGAAGGGGTCTATCTCCTAATAGATAGACCCTGAACTTCAAGCGAGTGCATACTTCATGGCAAGGAGTTCCTTGTCATGCACTGGATAGTTCCGCCTCAGCTGGTTGCAGCTGACGCGACTGATAGCAGACGACGCGTTCAACGCCTTCAAGATCGTACTGCATTAATGCACAGCCGATTGCGAAATTGCTGGCATCACAGACCACATGAAATGGCCTGTCTTGATCGGCTATTGCTAGGATGGGCGGATTGTATCAAGCTCTGCTTGATACCATCAAAGGAGCGCTGACATTCAGCGTTCCATAACCACCTCTCGTTCTTTTTCAACAAACGAGAGAGGTGCTACAGTCATCTCGGCGTAATTGCTTGAATACTTATGCAAATACGCCGCTATCCTAAAAGGAATTTTCGGAAGACCTTTGACATCAACCGGCACAGGCCAGTCGGTGATCGCCTTGATCTTTTTCGGGATCAGGACGTACACCGGTCTTACCAACGATGCACCCAAGAAGTGGTATTTCGCTTGCTGCAAATATACACTTCTTGAGGTTTGCATACAATTGATGCTTTCGCATGATTGTAAGGACCTGTCGGACGTGGTACCTGTGAACCTCAACGTCCGACTTTCCATCCATAGCTCGACTATGGATGAATGCGTCATCGAAATAACTCGGCGCGAATTCTCGTATTGGTCTCAACAGATGTGATACACATCTGTTGAACGTGGCAGGGGCATTACTAAGCCCTTGTGGCATTACTAGCCATTCCCAGAGCATGCCGCTAGGCGTGCTAACTTCGGTGGTAGGGTATATCCCGGTCCCGCATAAGGATTTGATAGAAGCCATCCATCAAATCCATGGACGAAAAGATGGTACTCTTTGACATACCATCAATGATTACGTCCTTCCTCGGTATCGGCGTCTGAGCCGGTACCGTTGCAGCATTCAACTTGTTAAATGCATTCACTATCCGCCACCCTCCAGTTGCTTTTCGCACACAGAAGGTCGGAGAGCTATGTGGGGAAGTTGATTCCCCTCACATGGCCCTCAGCTAAACGATCGGCAAAGAACTTGTCGATCGCAAGTACTTGTTCACGAGGCAGTGGCCACTGCTTCATGACACAGTACTTCGAGCCTGGTTTAATCTCGACCTCGTGTCGAATACCTTTATCCTTCGGTAATTCGCACGGAACAGTTTCAGGAAATACATCCTTGAATTCAACCAAATCTTCATAGAGATGATTTGCCTTGAGCGATTCCCACGATTGGGAGTCATATCGATCAACTTCTGGTCTTTCATCTAGGACACTCTCGTCCATAGATGAACTACTGAGAACTCTCTCGTTCTCAGTAAACACTGTTGCTGACCTTATGTCGGTTACACACTCGTCGTCAGCGACGAGTACGCAGATCTGCTTGACTTTGGCCACTACGCAGATCACGCAAGAATCTTTTATGTTCGAGCGTTGGCAACTGAGTGATCTCCGAAGTCAACTCCGGAGGCGCAATCAGATCAAGTGTATAAGCGCCTACACTTGATCCGTTATTGACTATGACATTCAATGTCTCTGTCATTTCCTGGGGACTTATTTCCTCAGGCTTCGAAAGGACTTATTCCTTCGGCTTCCCGGGGACTTATTCCCGCGGGTTTCGGGGAACTTATTTCCGCCGTATTTGTAATCTTGGGACTTATTCTCCTTTACTTCCTCTAGCTGGGGTTGCGCAACCACAGCGAGATCCTCTACGAAAGACTCTCCAGTCGATCTAGGATTATCGTTTCGCTTAACCTGACCGATCGATTGTTTCTCTTCTAGATGTTCCCCGCTAAGGATACATCTTTGTCCCAGTCCACCCGACTTATTCGAGTGGTGGACCTTCGGCGCAGCCTGTGTTTCCCTCACAGCCGCCGGAACTTTGCTCCGAAGTGTAACTGTTTGGTACACTAAGGTTTTGTGCAGTCGTACTAACGACCGTACCACAAGTGAGGCCATCGCACTCACTCGTAGTACATCCACACGCTTGTGGACGCCTCCAAAACGTTCATCAGATGGCCATCTGATGAACAAGCGGCAGGCATCGTTACTGTTCGATGTTGCCAGTTTACCCGTGGTTCGTACCTTCTGAGCCACGGTATTCCAAGGATGACGATCACCAAATTTGTCATCCAAATCCAATACGATAAAGTCATCGTCATATTTCGTATCTTCTAGCGTATAGTGAATCTTTACTATACGCTTCATGACGGTTACGGATGCGCCTGTCGCAAGACGTACCGTCATCCTCGTAGGAGGTGTGTCACATTCACTGAATTTAAAGTGATCATCTTCTAGCGATTGGCGTCGCACAAAATTGTTGGACGCCCCACAATCGACTAGAGCTCGAAGGGACAACTTATTCGTCACTTCGAGTTTCAAGGTAATGAGTGAGACCTCATTATCTAGAGCAGCAACGCACAACGTTTGTGTGTTGGGAGCAACCTTCATCAAGAGGCCTACAAATTCTCTTGACGTTGCTAGACCAGTAGGGTGCTCCGCACCTACTGATCCTGTCCGTTTTTGACGGTCCATCCCGTTGTTGCGTCTTTGCACCAACAGCGGACCCGCGTCCCTGCCCCTTTCTCATGAGTGGACGGTCACTACGCCCAGTGTTGCAAGACACTGGACGAGGGGCACTACACCCGTAAGCGTAGTGTCCTGTCTTCTGACATCTGTTTCATCTCTGCAACTTCTTGTAGTCTGTAGATCGAGCCTTCTCGCTCTCTACATAACAGATTTCCATCGGCTCTGGACCTTCCGCCGTCATATCGTCTCGGTTGACGATATGATGTCGAGCTGGCGCGAGCCTGTCTCAGACTGAAGTCTTCCTGCTCCGCAATGGTTATGGCTTGTTCTAGTGAATCTAGTTCAAGCCGGAACAGGTGAGTCTTGACGGGACCATCCGCAAGACCCTGCATGAACACCAAAACCAACGTGTGTTCATCCACCGGATTGGAACTTATACAACTCGTGAGATGTCGTATATGGTTGGGCGTAAGCGTGCACATCACGCTTACCTTGTCTGAGCCTCAAGAGTTCGGTTCGAGCCCTGAACTCAGCTCTAGGCGGTTCAAACGTTTGTCTGAGCCGCGACTTGAAGACTCTCAACGACCCAAACGCATATGGGTCGTGCAACTTGAGCCCCAGTGCCCATGTCTTGGCACGCCTCCGGGACTTTGCTGGGGGCAAATGCAACTTGCATTTCCCCATCGTCGATGCGACGCGCCCTTATGGCGGCCTATTCCACCGACGAACCATCTCAAGAGGGAGTCCTCTTCGACCCCCTATACTAAGAGATGTCAATCTTCAAGGTCTCGGGTCGACGCGAGTGCATCGACCCGCCAGCAGCAGCCTGCTGCTGTCTTAAACCAACTGTTCAATCTGTTGAGCACCCTGTTCCTCTCAACAACCCTGCTTGTTGAGAACCTTGTTGGTGAAGCAAGGCTACTGTCTCGCGGTTCAGCGTCAAGTTCATTTTGAATGAACTTGGCAATAGTAGCATGTTGGGCATCTCTATTGAGAGCCTCTAGCATGGCGCTAACAGCATGGATGCCCATGGTTGAACCCATCCATTCAACCGCATCCCATTCGACATTGCCCAAATGGGGAGTAGCCGTCACGCGTAGCGTGAAAGCTTTGGTCATCTTCATCATCCAACATATTCATGTTAGATGTGAACGTGGTCCTTGGACGGACTACGAAGTGCTACCAGGTGTAGCGGGGCACCCTGAAGCTTGTACTGGTGACAGTACAAGCTACTTATTCTGATGACAGAATAAGGTGGTGCCTCGTAATCTTCACGTACACACTGGTACGTGCAGAGGAAGACGGTAAGAAGAAGCGAGTACTTGGTTAGAGTAAAAAGTAGAACTGTATTTATAATAGTTAATGTCTGCAATAAATCCCTATTTATCCTTCATCTAACTATGTCTGAATACAAATGTGCATATCAACTATCTGCTCACCACTCATTGCGTGCGTCTGTCGTGGCGCGTCTTCGTTGGTTGGATATAATGGCCTATATCAACCAATTAGGAACTACTTGTAAGTGCAACATAATATTTGTCCTTATGACAATATTCTGAGAATATAACTCTTATAGTTATATTCTAATAACAATTTCTTATAAATTGTTATGTAACGATTCACCCCGTAACAGTGTCGATACAAGCCTCCCGGAGTTCTGTGTCCGATGCAGCCGAAATGTCGCGGACTAGACCGAGATTTAAATCTTCTGACCTCTGCGATGACTGCATCTCGAGGTTCTCACTGAGTAATCTGTTGTGATAGTGCAATCCTTATGTACTCCGAGATTTTGCGCGCCCAACCATTCCACCGGCAAGACCGCCTGCACAAAATTTGTTGAGGCGAAGATGATGTAGAGCTAGAAAGTGTTGTCGGTGCCCCCCACAGCTTCCGAAAGGGGTGAGCCATCAAGTCCGTGAACCATCTCTCCGGGATGGCAGGGCGCGTTCCCCCCAGGGGGGTCTTTGACCCTCGCGTCCGGCTCCCCCATTATCCACCGCAAAGGATGCGGCTTCAGTTCGAAAGCTGCTTGTTTATTTAGTCATTTGCCTCCAAATACGCGAATTGGAACTATATGCGCATTGGTAAATAGTTATGTCGTTCTACCATCTTGTAAAATTCTTTTCGTTTCAAATTTTGTGATACCTTTAAATTACTGATTAACTGACAAGCAAGTTTTATTTTTTGCAAAATTGGTAAATCTCTCTTAATTTTCCCTTTAATGAATTACGTTAGCTGGCGGCAATCGTGGCCACGAAACGACACACCAACAGTCGCCGGTTGTCGCATGCAGGCGGTTATTCTTCCAGTCAAATAAAGTTGCTCCAAGAACCACCTATTACCCGTAAACTCTTGTTGTCGGCTGCCGTCATTTCTAAAAAGTCATTCAGAAGGCAGCAGTGCTAACGACCGAACCCAGTGCCGAGCGATTAACATGATGCCCCGCAGCCTGTTGCGATCTACCAGCGCCCTGACCACCTCGCGCGTAGCTCTGCGTCCTTCTACGGGCGTGCGCCACTTTCGCAAGAGTGCGTTGTCTCTCTTGGTCGATTCTGTCGTAGTTCTCGTTACTAATAACCCCTAATCTGCGTGATCTCTCTCATTCTGATTCTGCTTCTGATTCGACTGCAGACGCTCCTACCAAGTACACGGAGAACAAAGAGCTGACAGGACTGGCAGGAGTTCTGCAAGGTACGACGGTTCCTCCTCGTCTCTCTCTCTCTCTCTCTTTCTTGCTGCTACCGCTCATCCGTATTGCGCACTCTGTTGTTCCACTTACTTGCAGCTGACAACCACAAGCTTTCGGTCAAGGCAATGCACCTGACGAACGTGGGTCTCATGGCTGCCGTGCCACTTGCTTTCGTACTGAGTCCGTCACCGCTGGCGCTGCCCGTGGACTTGGCGATCGGTGTGCTCGTGCCTGTGCACGCTCACATTGGCATGAACAACGTCATTTCCGACTACGTGCCCAAGAACGTGCGCACATTGGCGCGTCTGGGCTGGCTGGGCGCCACGTCGCTCATGCTGCTAGGACTGCTGCGCGTCAACTTGGAAGGTCCGGGCATTACGGAGGTGGTCAAGACCATCTGGCGTGAGTCGCCCAACAAGAAGAAGCACGAGGCGTAGCCTCATTGTCGCATGTAGCGCTCTTCCACTGCGGAGAGGAGACGTCATGTAAGAGAGAGGATTTGAATGACGTGTAACTTTGACCGGGTCGCCACCTGTATTGCTTCCTACGATCTTGTGTGTCAACTTGCTAGATGATGCTGACGTTTAAGTTACGACAGATGGTAGTAGTAGCGTCGCATGGCCGTCCACAACAACAACGGCATCGTCGCTGCCTTTCGTGCACACGGTCTCGCACTCGACGAAACGCCTTCTGACTTTGGTCACGCGAATGCGCGCCGTCACCTCCTCATCCACAAGCAGGGGGTGCCTCCAGCTCAGATGCTGCTTGACGTAGACTGCGCCCGGTATCGTGCGACCGAAGATCGCGGCAAAGAGGCTGGCGGACAAAAGACCTTGGACCAGAGGTTTGCTCTTCGCTGCCACTTTGCGTGCAAACTCGGCGTCCACATGCAGCGGGTTGTTGTCTCCAGAGAGTTGAGCAAAGGCGCGAGTGTCCTCGAGCGAAAAGACGTGCGTCAAACGCGCCTCGACACCGACGGCTGGAATCGCTCCTGGAGCGAGCTGGTTGCGCCATTGACACGTCATAGACACGTCATAGACACGTTACACCCCATCAAGACAAGCGACAAGTAAGGACGGAGGCGCTCAAGTCGACCTTTGTAAGTTCTCCTTTGACCAGGAAGCGGCTGTCCGAGACCAACGCGCTGAAGAACTTGGCAGTCGATCGAGGAGACAGGAAGCGCATGCGCTGCATTGATCCAGCGTTCGGTTTTAGTGTGGACACGCCAGTTAGTGTGGAGTTGGTGTGGATGCCTGCGATCGAGCGATTGGTTGGTGTACGTGTACGCTAATTCGTGTGGACGGGTGTGGACGACACCTCATCGCAGCCAAGTAGAGGCGATGCGGAGGCTGACCACAGCGACACCTGCGTCGCGACTACCGCTCGCGCGTCTCTTCAAGCGGCAGCCCATCGGTATGTGATTGTATCTATGGACTGATCTCCATTGTTGTTCGTGTGTGCGTATTGGTGGTGTTGAGAGAGTGCTGATTGGTGTGGTGTTTTTGGTTCGGACAGAGGAGCTCCTGGAGCTCCGGAGCATTTTGGCCGCTCAGAACTTGGTAGCGAAGATACATGAGAACCCTATTCCGCGCCGTCTGAATGAGAGTGATGCGTACCTGGAGTGGGTCAAAAGGAAATGCAGGAGCAAGTCTTCTGTAAAGCAGATGGACAAGACAGCATTTGACGCGTTTGTAAAAGACGTCAGTGTGTATCTCCAGCAGCAGGAAGAGCAGGTGTTTAATGAGTGTGGCAAGATTGGACCCATGGAAGAGGAGGAACTCAGTGGTCACAAGGCGGAAGAGTTTGTTGAGGCGGTGAAACTGAAGATGGCACGACACATGTGCATGCAGACTGCAATGAGCTTCGAGCTGTTGGACAAGGACAAGGATGGTGTGCAATGTAGCGATGTTTCGTGTGTGCTCGTGTCGAAGCGGGTCTTTAATTCATGGTGGGATTGTGTAATGGTGCAATGGATAGGGAAAGTTCACGTTGACGAGGTCGAAAAGTTGCTGCAGGTAGTTGCGCACGGTAACGGAACGAAGTGGATGAAGAGTAAGCCGCACGACTCGGTGTGCTGATGATGTAGTACTTTTATTCACACTGCTTTGCACGTAGGTCAATTTGACCTGTATGGCGCAGACGGCGACAATGTGGTAAACGAAACGGAGTCCAGGCTTATTTTAGACTCCATGGTTACGACGCAAAAGGCAGTGATGGCCGAGATTTTTGCGACTCACGTAAGCTTCTGCACTGCTTTCAACTCTTGTAAAACCCAAGTCAGTATCGCTGATAATAGGGACGTGCTTGCTGCAATTAGGTGGATAATATGCCCAAGAAATGCGAGAAACTTGTTGCCAAAAGTCTGAGAGAAGAGGATTTTCGATCAAAGATTCCAGAGAAGGTGCGATGCGTGTTCCATTTTGCGAACAAGCTGGACAAGGAGCACAAAACATATGACTGGGAACTTTTCGAGGACTCGCAGGTAAAGCTGGAGTGTGTGGCGATGGACAGACGACGTTTGATAACATTGGGCGTGCACTTGTTGTCTATACCAGAAAGCGGAGTTTCCCGAATTGCACAACTTGCTCACCGTCTACGCAAAGGGCTTCTATACTGATAGGTAGAAGCATGAGTTATGGCTGAGAAACAGTGCTTCGAGTGTAAATGTATGCTGATCACTGTGTATGTTCGTGACGGTTGCATGCAGATTCATGTTCCACGAACGCAAGCAGGAGAGACGCAGCACACGGTACAAGGGTCTGCTGCTCGCAGCTGCCATTGGCCTTGGTGACTACATTGCTGCCGTGATTTAGAGACGTTGCAGCGCGAGCAAAAAGTAATACCGCTAGTTATACCTACGTATCTCGCTGGTCTCATGGCATGTCGGAATTCTCCTATTCCTCACGTTTGCCGCGAACGTCAACGGTATACATATAGAACGAATGCATCTAGTTCCGTGACATTTACAGAGCTGGCTCTATTTGTGAAGCTTTATGCACCCTTGATGTTCGAGTGAGCGCGCAGACAAAATGTGTTGCATATCATGGTGCTCTGTACCGAAAAGGCATCGCTGTCGGGGGAAAATCATCCTGAACCTCGTTCTGTGAGGCCATCAATCAGATCGCAATGTAAAGCATGAAATCGCATTCGCTGTCACGTCGTCAGCAGCTAAGTGCAGTAGTACAGGGGTGCAACTGTCTTGAAGAGCTTGCATCTAGGCCATTGCCTCCTAGCACCTTATATCAATCTATTTTGAATGTAAAGTGGAAGATTTTTTACTACATCATCCGGTTGAAGGACCTCAAGAGCTCTTCGTGCTGTACTCGCGCACCTTCGATTACAAAAACGCCGGGATTTGATCGGCTTCCTCACCAGGCAAGAAGTAGATGTCGAAGCTTTTGATTTCCGCTATCTCCCGCCGTACCAGAAACAGAAGGTTGTGCTGGACTTGGTGAGGCGTCATCGTCTCCTTTGGTCTGCTCTTTGTTGCACACGTTTTCGCGCTTTGCTTGGGTGATGGAAATCATCAATATGTTCTTTTCATATGCTCAAGCGTACAATACCTACACGTCCAGCATCTCGTATGTCAGCTTCCCACCCGCCTTGGATTAGATGGAGCGGCATCGGATATTCGCGTTAAAATCACTTGTTCGAAGAGGTCTAGTCTACTAAGAGCAATGCCGGTTTGTGTTGTAGACTGAGTTGACACCAACCTCTCGTACTTCTCGAAGTGCTAGCCGAGCATCGCTTCTCTTTTTAGATGAATAAGCGATGCGCGACTAGCACTTCAGACTACAGTACCGATGCTGTTAATGACGGAAGCCAAGCTACGGGTGCACAGAAGCTACTCGTAAATTCGCTCAGTTTTAGCAAAATTACATCTTGAATGCCAGTGTCACAGACGACAGCGAGATGGCTCAGGATGGACGACAGTGTGTTCCCTTCATAGACTGCAAGTCCGCTGAGTAACTGTGCACCGACATTCGCATTCTGCCTGGCTATCATCCTTTTGAATCAACCGAATTTTGCTAGCCTTGACCCCTCTTTCACCCCACAAAATGATGGATCCTTCAAAGCACAGCTGTCATAGGAATCGAAGGGTATTCTATCTCTTGCAGGAATTCTTTGTCGCATTGCGTCATACTAGACACCGAAGTACGCACGGCGTCTAGCTCCTGATTCGTGCTTTCGACCGAGCAGTTGCACGCCTGACGCATTTGGCTGCACTTGTTCAACTGTTCTTGAATCAGCTACTGGCTATATGTCTATACGAAGAGCTGGCTGCGGTTGCCCGCTTTGTGGTCTCACATGCCGTCTGCCGTGACTCCCGCCAATTCTCATTTCAAGCTATTGCACGCCGCAGCAATGCTTAAGAATGACGGTGAGCTTGGACTGAAGTGGCAAAGTGTGATCAGATAACACCAAGGCGCTTTCTTTCGTCGATTTGCCAAATGACTAACTTGCTGCTCGCTCTCACTGGAGCACGATCTAACGTCCGAATTGGTCCACCGAGTGTATGTACGCGAGAACAGTTTACGTCTGCAATATTAGTTGCACAAACGGCATGTATTACACTGTGGGACCCATTTAAGGAACGTTATACTTCCACATAGAACGGATCAAGAACCAAAAGTACCGGTCGAAACCAAAGTAGTCAACTCCACTCGATGCGAGCCTTCGCTGTGCGAGAAGTCCCTTGGAAGACTATGTTGTACGCATGGTGTCTAGCTTCTTTACACCGTCTCTGAAATACGTGTCGAGCGCGGGTATCGTTTGTTGCATGAGTCAATCATAAAGTGCTGCCATGCCACTTGACAAAGCCGTACGCTTGAATATAGCTTGCATCAGTGTAAGCGAATGGACGTCTTGAGTTTCGTTACCGATCTATTGAGTACCACCTCGTATGAGACTGTGGACCTAGAAGGTCACGCACGTTCTAAGTGGATCCTAGGAATGGTCAAGCGTGACGGTCATTACATTTGTTCAGATTATCGTATCGACGGAAACGCGAGGCCAGCAGATTCCTCCTTACGTGTTCATTACCAGCGGTGTGTGATTAGATCATGACAAATCAGAGTCAAGATCAATGAAGCGTGTGAAACGGGGGCGGGGGCATTACTGCGCCAAGGCTATCGTCACCTCGTTCGAATACTGCTTTATCAGAAAGGAAGCTGAACGTCTGATCTTCGATGACATGCACCGAACGCCGTAAGCACAATAATCTCGCCCGCATCGTTCGTCACAGCGTTAGAAATGATACACACGTCGTCCCCGCATCTTGTAGCAGCAGGAGAAACGATAGGGAGATGGCGTTCCACCAACAAAACTGTTGACAAAGCATGGCGCTCCCGCTGCCCGTACACCAGTGGCACAACAAATGCATGTAAAATTGCTTGGTTTCATTCGCATATATTGAAACGTAAACATCGGGCTACTGACTTGCCGATTGCTGCTTTCTTTGCGACCTCTGCTCAAACTGGCATGGGCAGGTAGAAAGTTGTTCGTGCATTAAAGAGCCGTGCGCCCCTGGTACTGCTCGTCCAGTCTGCGCGTCTCTGACTCTTTTTCTTGTATTCCAATTTTTATAATCGCAGCAATTTTCTCGTCCGGCGTACAAAAACAGAATCGTTTTGGATGGGTACAAGCGCACCCACGCAAAATTGTACCTATCCTAGCTCTTATCCGGATTCCTGTCCAAAAATGCAACGTATTCGCGCGATGTGCCAGGAAGGGGCCGTGACATCCACAAAAAGGTTGGTTACACTAGCGCAGTAACCGCCACCAGAGAATCAGTCCATACAATAGTCAAGATGTCAAGCCTGAAACTGCATCTGATTCCACGTTGTCTCGATGTTCAGTACCAAAATGCGGAAGTAGCACTAAGGCGGTGACCGGCGAGGCGACATCCCTCCCTCCCTCCTACTCTACGATGATGAACTTGACTCCCTTCCGAGCTGAGAACCGCACCTCTTCCCGTTACTTCGCATTTCGCAAGCTCCTTCGTTTTGGCTGCTTCTTTTTGCCTACTGTCTGACTGGTGTCCAAGGCCACTGCCATAGTGTGTGCAAGAGGCCACCCACGTACAGAGAGAGAGGAGAGAGAGAAAGCGTGCGACAAAGCTGCGCCTCCCCCATTCATTCCTCCACTCGTTATCACCCTCCGTCCGTCTAAGGAGATCTCCCGCCTCACCAGTCGACTCTTCCGTTGCCTCGCTTAGCGCGACTTCACGAGCGACCACACTCCGACTAGTCCCCGCCTTGCATCATGTTACTTTCGTCCATGGACCACGTGGGCTACTACGCCATGTCCAAGGAGAACAGTTTCCTCGAGTTTGACGCGTCCCCAGGCGGGAGCGGCCACGACGGCTACGCCCTTCCACCGGACGACATGAGTGTCGTGTCGTACATAAGCGAAGAGACGAGTCCGAAGAACGGCACCAAGTCGTCGCTGTACAAGACGGAGCTCTGCAAGCGCTTCTCGGAGTTTGGCAACTGTCGCTATGGAGGTGCGATGCGCTCTCTTGTGCTTTTGTGTTGTGGAGCTGATAGAATGCTGACGCTCGTTTGGTTTCCTGCTGTTACTTCACAGCCAAGTGTCAATTTGCACACGGAATGGCGGAGCTGCGTCACGTCGTGCGCCATCCCAAGTACAAGACGACCAAGTGCAAGTCGTACTGGGGGTCCGGCCACTGTCCTTACGGCAGCCGCTGTCGCTTTATCCATGAGGAGACGGAGGGCTACGCGCAGTCGCCGTACAGTCCCTTGAACCACCACCACCACCACCATCGCAGCAGCAGCAGCAGCAGCATGTTCCTTCATGAGAAGGACCGTTTCTGCGGCTTAAGTGGCGGAGTCATGGACCCACCGCAGCCGTCTGTTGATCTTAGCTATGGCGGTGGCCTCTATAGTGAGCAGCCGAACCCGCATCAGCTCCAGCAGCTCCGTTTGCATCACCACCAGATGATGCCTTCCTACCCAAAGGACAACTACTCGCTTCTGGCCTCGCTGGACAAGAGTTCCTGGGGAGTGTCGGGTGTTACCCCGATTGCAAATCAATACCCCGATTATGCTGGTGAGCACTATACTACGAGTGCCTCGCTTGAACACCAAAGCTTGCTCGGTAGCATCGGCTTGTCGCGTGCTCAGCAACGAGCCACTCCGGCGAGTAGCGACGCTGCAAGCAGCGCGTCGTCACCGGGCTACCCAGACCTCCAGGATGCCATTGACGCATTGATGAAGTTCTCGCTCACCCAGGACGACGATGAGCCGATCCCGGACCCCGTCACGTCTCCTGAGACCACTCCGGTCCAGGCTGTTCGTGGGCGTTGCCATTCCAGCGTCTCTTCCCCCGCTCTCGCCTCCACTTCGACAGCTGCTACAACGAAGAATGCCGAGTTTTCTCTACAGTCCGATGAGTTATGGAAGGACTTCCCGGCTGCGTCGTCGGCGCCTTTTACAGGCGATGACATGCGAACCCAGCCGTGGTCTACTGGCGTATCGCTGAGTCTTGATAGCAAGTCATTTGAAGGTGTTGCGGCTGTTGCCGGCGATGCAAAAGACGTCTCTGGAAGCAGCAGTGACGACGAGGAGAGCCCCCGCCTGAGCGTGTTCGAGCGCTTCCATTAAGGCGTTGGAAGCGAAAAGGAGAGGCGGCGCTCTGTATCTATCTATGAGCCCGTGTGTGTGCGGCGTGCTTCCGTCCATCCTTGTTTGGTTTGGTCTTCGTGCCGCTGCCCGCTCGTGTGTGTACCAGCCCCTATTTACTTTACATATAAATATATTAATTGCTGCTGCTGCTTAGCAGCTCGAACCGATGATGACTGACGCCTGATAGCACATGCATCCTGTTGTCTCGTGTACTCGCAGCACATCAGACACAGATCCACTCAGCTCCACGTCATCATCATGTCCATTGTATAATTTTACACAATGGCAGTCAATAATAGGCGAACCCGATGTGAGTGG